GCATAATCCGAAGCAATTAAACCGCGAACGCCGCGCGAGAACACGTGTAAACGCGATCCGAGTCGCRCCCTTACACGCATTCCTGTGCGACGACTCGCTCTCCCATAAAGGAGTCACGGCAGCACCATCATCCCGTACGAGCACGCCGAGGCGTCACTCAGTCGGCCTGTCCTACACGTGCTCGTACGCGGTGGCGGAAACCCGGCCCGCGTTATCCCACCGACAATGACACCATGACGCGATCTTGGAACTCAAACTCGTCCTATGACCCGGACTATTTCACCCCTATAATAAACGAGCTCATAAGGACACGATACCCCTGTCACATGGAGAATCGGTTATGTCCGCGGGAATTTCACTGTCCTACCACTAGCGACCCTCGGTGCTCCGATTTCCCTTCCCCCGACCACACCTACTACTTCACCCACCCAGGATTCGTTGAGATCACCACCAGTTTCCGTCCTTTTCGCCTCCTTCTCCCATATCATCAACTCAGTGTCGTTCTGTGGCCGGCCATAGCCCCTTATTGGCCCAATACGTTTTGCGAGAACTGCCGACGCAACGGCGCGCAGAACACTCCGGAATTTCGGAGGCCCAACTCAGGTACGCGGCGGCCTGCGCCGCGTGGCGGCCCCCGACGGCCTAACTTTTCAGGACCACCTCCGCCACGAAGGAATTTTCCCGCAACCCGTCGCCCACAGTGCCCCGGCCCCAGCGGACCATGAGTCCCTTGCGCACGCTCGCCTAATTGCATTCATACCCTTAAGACTCCCCCACTTTCCCCAAAAATCCTTGGCACACCCCTTTTCGCACTTCCAGGCCCACATCCCACTCCGATCAGGAATTCGCGCTGGGCGTGAGGTTGGGCGTCACAGCGGAACTCAACCCAAAAATGATCTGCCATCATTTGATCCCTCTTTTCTTCCGGTCGTTGTCGTCTTGGGGGCGCCCAGGGGTAGATGCGTACCTCTGATCTTTCGCATCTGATTGACCTCCATCCGTCCATAGTCTTCTTGTCTGTCTCATACCTACAGATGATGGTTATAGTAGATGCAGAGAGCGGCTGGAGCAGGAAGAGATCTTGCGCCTCCTCAAAACTCCCCCTGAGGGAGGCCAAGCGCTTCCTGATCCATCCAATCTTCTCATTGGTCGATTTGAAGGCTGCATCATCGTGAAAAACCCAATTGCTAGCGTGTTTCACGTACAGATCGTTACGGTCCTTAACTTTGCTTGCCGGAAGTGTTTTCACCATAAGAGATCTCCCCCCCTGGTTCACCACTTTGGGCTCCGAGGGTGTTAGTAGTTTAGTCAGGAAGAAGGCACTCGCTGATGAGAGGTTATCCAGGGGTATTTTCCATTTCTTTGGCTCTTTTCCCTCTTCTTGTCTCTTCACCATAATGGATTCCCCCACATGAGGTTTGAGTCGTCGTGCGGCCCATGTGGGAGGGGGAGGGGAGGGGGGGGCATTCTTTATCTCTCCAGCCTGATGGGTTTGTTTACCTTTCTCCGTCTGCCCTTGTCAGGTTTGTTTACCTTTCTCCGTCTGCCCTTGTCTGTCCTCTGTTGATGTTCTCCTTTGCCCTGCTAGTTGTGATATGGCATGGTGTCTCAGAGCGCCCTGGTAGAGGAGGGTCAATTCAACTTTCTTGTGAACCCTCTGGTACCGCTGTGCAGAACCCCCTGTTTTTTTTATGATCACCATGCTGTGTCAGTTCCCTGTCTTTGTTTTCTTCCTCCTCCGCTACCTGTTATACGTGTGCTGCACCTAGAATAGTGTATAGCGGGGTATGCTGGAGGAGAGCGAGAGAGAGAGAGAGGATGTTCACGTCAGCGATCCAATGGACAATCGAAGCAAACGAGCAAGAATTAAGGAGATCAGGCAGGCAAGATGAAGGTGAACGATGATGATTATGATGATGATGATGATGATGACGATGATGATGATTAGTGGCGACCGTGTGTGTGTGTGTGTGTGTGTGTGTGTGTGTGTGTGAGAGAGAGAGAGAGAGAGAGAGAGAGAGAGAGAGAGAGAGAGAGAGAGAGAGAGAGAGAGAGAGAGAGAGAGAGAGAGGCGCTGTTCTCACACAAAACCTGAAAACAAGGTACATACCTTGTAGAATGAATTCTATGGTGCAACTTTCCTAGAGCCAGGGGGAAAAGAAATTAAAAAAAACATAGTAAATATTAGTAATAAAGAAATAGGAGGGAACCCTGCACCTGTGAGTAGGCCTGTCGAGGCACGGAACTTGTGCCCTTCTTCATTTTCTTTGCTTTTGTGTAGGGCTGTCAGGGCAAGGTCCCTCTTGTGTCATTTCAGCATCAGATTTGGCGCCTGAATCTGGACGCCTTTGGGGAGAGATGCAAAGCATCTCGATTGATCTGCTGCTATGCATCTCTACCGAAGATGTGTCCAGAATCAGGCACCAAATGGTACAACGAAAAAAAACATGAAAATGAAAAATAAAAACAAACTGTATTAAGAGAGTCTACATACAGTCCAAGAAGTAGGTGTGTACTTTATACAAAACCTTCTTGAAATTTTTCAAAAACAACATACGCACCTTCTCACGGTCGTGCACCTGTTCTTGGACTTCGCACGATCGTGAGAAGTGCTTGGAGAAGAAAATCTTGCACTGCACTCACAATTGCGCACGCATTCTTCTCGTTCCGAGCAGGACTCTGTGAGTGTGTGTATGTGTGTGTGTGTATGTGTGTGTGTGTATGTGTGTGTGTGTGTGTGTGTGTGTCTGCGAGAGAGAGAGAGAGAGAGTGAGAGAGAGAGAGAGAGCATAGCGACCGCGTGTGGAATCAGGCACCTGCGTGGACAGCCCACGCCACACACACACACAGACACAGAGAGAGAGAGAGAGAGAGAGAGAGAGAGAGAGAGAGAGAGAGAGAGAGAGAGAGAGAGAGGTGAACTGTTGGGGAAGAGGTGGCAGTCTACAAGCTTTGTCTTGGTATTATGAGAAAACGACAGTTAATCCCCCATGAGAGCCCTTGTAAGAGGGCAATGAATGCTATCCTCCTCTGCATGCTGTGCTTTCACCTTGTCAAAGGGATGCTGGAACCTATTTCTAACAGGTGTAGTTTCCCAGCACAGGATGACCACCACTACACCCCGGGGGGGGGGGCTCCCATTGAGGTTGCTCATATCATATCCATGCGTTGGACCTCTGCTGCCGGTAGTGTAAAAAAAAAATAATAAAAGAACACCCCGAAACATCTCAGACAAGGTACATACCTTGTATACGAATACAAGGTACGCTGTATTCAAGGATTCCTTCTATTCGAAAATTTAGCAGCCATTACTTGGAACCCATTTTTCGGAGGTAACTTGAATACAAGATACGCACCTTGTTTTCAGGTTAAACCACCAGTGCCTCGCCCGCGTATAAAAAGGCCGGGACTTTCAGGGGTCGGCCAGGAGAACGCCTGGTAGCTCCCGGTACGACCTTTTCGTTTCCCAAAAGAAAAAGAAACAAAAGAAATACCCCAAAAAAAAAAGAAAAGAAAAGGAAATCTTACGTTCTCAACAAAAAAGAATAAAGAATAACAAAGAGAGAGAGAGAGAGAGAGAGAGAGAGAGAGAGAGAGAGAGAGAGAGAGAGAGAAACCTTGCCAGTTAGCCACGGCAGTCTGTGCAGCTCGCCGGTTCTCTCTCTCTCTCTCTCTCTCTCTCTCTCTCTCTCTCTCTGAATATTGCGGCGAACGCACCAAGGTTCATTCTCGTTTTGCACTTCACAACGCGCACAGAGAGAGAGAGAGAGAGAGAGAGAGAGAGAGACCCAGCAGGTTAGCCACGGCAGCTCGCCGGTTCTCTCTCTCTCCCTCTCTCTCTCTCTCTCTCTCTCTCTGCGCGCATTGTGACGTGCAAAACGAGAATGAATCTCGGCACGTTCACTGCAAGATTCATTCTCTCTCTCTCTCTCTCTCTCTCTCTCTCTCACACACACACACACACACACACACACACACACACGGCGCAATGCAGACCCTTTTTCTTACTTTCTTTTTCTTTTTTTCGTTTTTCTGTTTTTTTCTTTGTTTTTTGTTTGTTTTACTTCTTATTTTGTTCACATTTATTGTTTACATATTTCGATGTGTCCGTAGAGGCTCGTCACGGTAGCTGTAGGCTAGGCCTACCGGTAGCTCTAGAGTCAGGCCTTGACAACCGGTAGGTACTGGTGGTGACGGTAGTCCGCCATGATGCATGTTTCACATTAGTCGTCCTTCCGCCGCAGCTAAACTACACAGGTAAGCCATTTTTCAGTTGTTTTCCACAACGGTGGCCCGGGTCCTGTGTGCTCCCCCTTCCACAGCAAGTCAATAACAACGTCCCATTTCTCTGCCAGACATTGCATTGTGCTCCCCCTCCCACAGCAAGCCAATAATAACGTCCCATTTCTCTGCCAGACATTGCAATTGAGCGGGCTGGCCTACGAGTAGTCCTATTCCGCCATGATGCACGTTTCGCATTTGTCGCCCGCAGCAGCTAAACTATGCACGTCTCACATTAGTCGCCCACCGCAGCTAGACTAAGAAATTTCACATTAGTAGCCCCTTGGTCGCCGCAGCTGAAGTACACGAAATGCAGTCAGCCGCAGCTAAACTAAACAAAACGCAGTGTTTATCAGGCAAGATTCATTTGCATAAACATTTTGCAACCGGGCTCACACACACACGCACACGCACACGCACACACACGCACACGCGCACACACGCACACACGCACACGCGCACACACGCACACGCAAGTTCCAAAATGAGAATGAATCTTCCGTCATAAACACGGAAGATTCATTCGCATTTTCCACTCCTCTCTCTCTCTCTCTCTCTCGCCCGCACACAGACACCGACAGGGACACACACAGTCACCGACAGCGACACACACACACACACACACAAAAGAACAGGAAACGGAGCACACCCGAGAAGGACAAGACAAACGCGAGCAAATGGCAATTTCAACCAATTATGATCTCATCCACTTTCAATGTCATGTGAAACAATTTCGGCGGAGAAACAATTACCTGATCGAAGTATAATCTCATAATTCTCACCATTTCAATCACATCAAGTTCTTTAGTGTGTGTAGACCTCCGAATCACATCTCTCATCTCAGGCCATAGTCAGAATCGAACTTTCAAAAATGTATCTAACCGCAATTGCGGGCCGACCTGGATGAACCTAACCGCAATCACGTCCAGAGCCTAGTAGAAGAAGTGCCTACCTCAAATATCACAGCACAGGCCTCCACTCCTCACCTTCGGTCGATTGGGTTTAAAGCCACGGCCGTTTTCTCTCTACAACTACTATCGAAAAATTCCATGTATTTTTTATCTTGCTCCATCGCCTCCCCCGCCCCTCAGGTTCCCCTCTGTCCTTCTCAACCAGTCCCTCTCTCTGCTTCCATCGGATATAATGCACCATTCCGTTGTACTGCTCTCCTCATGTCGGGTCGCTCTTACTTTTTCCCTCTCAAAGCACACTCACACTACCGATATAGCGAACGTATCTGACTGCATTTAAGGCCAGACCGAGACGTATCTGACTGCAATTACGTCCAGAAATGAGTAATACGTTCAGGAGTGTCCACACCCTCAATTTCTATTAACGATATATAATACGACATATGCCAAAATCTCTCCTTCCTCCCCTTTCGCGTCAATCTTTCCCCTACCTCATCATCAAATGGCCTTCCCACCATGCTCTTATACAAAGATCGACGGCTGCAGCTCTCTGCCGCCAGGTGCTTTCGGATTGCATTGTCTTCATTTGACAGGAGAATAAAAAGAAAACAACGTAACCTTCCCTGCTTTACGAGCGAATGACACGTGTCATCCATTCCATCATCCAAGTTTGATCAGCGATGGATGGACACACTTGTCGCGCCATTCATGCTGTGTCCCTAAGTAAGGACTTCGTCTTACAATAACAATTGGACAAGGACCTGTCTGACAAATATTTATATATATAAGGATAAGAAGCCAAGCGATCCCGACCAAGGATCGCAACAACTCGTTCACATTATCTGAGGGGTCGGAAAAAAACAAACAAACAAACAAACAGCAGAAGAGATCTGAAATCATGTGGAGCGTTCAACTCTTCTGCTCTGAACAAATCACTCACCGAACCCGCCCAGAACACACCGACTCACCAAACCAGCTCACACCACCCAGTCATTAAACCTGCAATCACCCAAATGAACGAACCTGCTCGGGCCCAGACACCGGGCCCGCTCACACCCAACTCGAGGGAAAAATCCCTTCAAAATCATCCACTGAATCTGACGATTCTCTGTAAAACCTGATCATACTCACCCGGTGATCTGATGCCCAACCTATTCACCGAACCAAGTCACGCTCGACCCGGGTCACACTCGCCCGGCGATCTGGCACCATCCATTCACTGAACCTGGTCACCCGTGATCTGATGCCCAACCTATTCACTGAACCTGGTCAGGCAAGACCCTGGTCACACTCGACCGGCAATCTGGTGCCGTCCGTTCACTGAACCTGGTCACATTCGACCTTTAAAATGGGTGCGAGATATAAACTCACGACCGCCTCGCCATTCCCCACTTCCCGCCGGCGCCATCCGTCGTCTCCAAGTGCCCCCACCACCGCCGAATTCTCCGGACTACCAATCCACTGTACGCCTCTTCGATTCAGCAGGCAGAAGTTGAGGGACCGTTAAACATGGACCTCTTTGAAGTGGTCATTCCGATAATCATTTCCCCGCCCTCCCCCCTTCCTCCACAAATCACGCACGCACACACACATGCGCACGCACAGAGATATCTACGCACATTTCTGCGCGATTACAAACCCATTCCAACCCTGGTCATCGTGCCGGTGGGAGGAGAGAGAAAAAAGGCTGGTAAACTCACGACCAAGATGTGTCAAACACAGTTCGATCAAACAGCCATATAGACTTAACCCGCTCGTCTATGGGTAGTTAGACATACAGACAGACCTACACGACTACAGAAAAACTTACCCGCTGGTCTACGGGTAGACAAAGATAAACAAGAGAGAGAGAGAGAGAGAGAGAGAGAGAGAGAGAGAGAGAAATTCAGATGGTCGACTCGTCAACTGCTGAAAAACAGAGAGACCTGAGTTCGAATCCAGGAGTAATTAGAAATATAGAAAAATCAAACAACAGCCACAGACGACTACCCCGGCGGCAAGAGCGAGAAACGAGCAAAAACGTGGCGACAAACAGAAAAACAAAGATAAACGAGAGAGAGAGAGAGAGAGAGAGAGAGAGAGAGAGAGA